GCACCAGTTGTTTCAATAGCGCTTCTTGTTAAGCCTGTCTATGTCTGCATTACTTAAATTTAAAATAAACTTTGTATTTTTAATTTTTTGTAGTATATAAATAAATATATATTTTGGATTGTTAAAACTGATATTTTTTTAATTTTTTTTTGAAGCTTTATTTTTATATATGTGTAAAATTATAGGAAAAATAAACATCGAAGAAACCTGAAATATCTGTTTAAGATGGAACATTTAGCCCTTATCTGTGTTTGCCTAACCCATTCATGACAAATATGTGTATAAATAAATAAATATATTTCGTATTTTTAAATATATGTTATTTATTTAATTTAAAATGGTGATGGTTATGTGATCACCCACAACACCAGCGGCATTAGGTGTTGCCGGCCTTTTCTTTTCTTGAAGGTTATGTTGTCGTATCGGTTCGGAAATACTGCTGCTGGATGAAAGGGGTGATCTTTACATCCTCCAGTCTCCAAATACACTCACCCTGGAAAGCATCAGTACAATAACATATATTTTATTACTATATTTAAAAGAAATAATATTAAAAAAAAACTGTTATTTACTATAATAGATAACAAATATACTAAACTCATTATTAATCTCTTCCAATTAATCTAACGCATTGAGATGAGAAATGGTTAGCGGGTAAGCAATGTCGAATTCAATTTTTTTTATTTCAAAATTAATATATGGATACGACAGTGAATTTACAGGGTACAGAGGAATAACACCTGAGTCCTCAAGAATGGCAACGCATGAGGGGTATCATGGGTGAAACAGTATACTCTGTTATGTCCATGGTACTGCTCATGTCTATAGGCGACGGTTACCACTTTCCATCAGGTGGGCCGTCAGCTTGTTTACCATTCTAAGTAGTATAAAAAAAACTTTCGAATTGTTGAATCGATTTATTTATTTTTTGACGCATATAAACAAGCTTTCACTTGTAACTTGGGCCAGTACCGACCACGTACAGGCGATAGATCAAAAGCACCTGTAATATTAACGTTCACTATCACACGCACCCGGCGCCGCGCGTTCTTCGCACCGTAACAAAAAGTATTTGTCAAAAACACCGGCGAATTATGTTCGTCTTCACAATGATCATTTGATAGGCACGCGACAGATGCTACCGTTTAGAAAATTGATATAAATCTATAGATAGATAGATGGATAAATAATTTTTTTGCAATACTTTTACCAGAGAGAAACTTTGTACAAAAGCTTGAGCACCTCTGTCCCATTCGTGTTTCTGCCGTGAAGCAGTTGTGTTTGCATGGCTGTGTTTCGGTTTGAAGGGTGGGATATGGCGTGAGTTTACAGGGTACAGAGGAATAACACCTTAATACTCAGAAATGGCAACGCATGGGGGGTATCATGGGCGAAACAGTATACTCTGTTATGTCATGTTAGGTCCATGTCCATGTCCATATAAACAGCAATAAAAAAATACCTATCAATAACATATTGCAATTGTATGTAATTAACTCGACATTTACATTAAAAGTAATAAAGTAACACAATCTGGGGTCACATCTCACGTTGTACTGCACAGAGACATGTTCACCGCGCATATCTTCAATCTATGCCGCGTGTAGGTAAGGCAGTAATAAAACAGTGCATTAACACCTCGTCTTTGATGCCACTGATGTAATCTTAGTGGAACCCGCCGTTTATCTCCCGTCTGTACTGGGACGATGCTCTACTTTTTTATATAAATAATATATTTTCATTTTCCAAATTATTGATATATCCGTATAGCTTTTACCAGCGATTTTGATATAGATAGCGATATAGAATTGTGTTTCGGATCACTTTTAATAGATGGCGTTGTATGTGATACGAACTTCACTGGGTCATCTAGTATTATAAAAAAAAAAAATATTTAAATTTTTTTTAGATGTTTGTTATTCAATTGCACATAAACTGCTGGCACACACATAGAACCTATGTTATTCTGATTATCACAAACAAAGATATGGACTACAGCTGTCCTTATTAATATTATAAACGCGAAAATGAGTTTTCTTGTTTGTTTGTTGCCTTATAGCATCTCAACGGCTTAACCAATCACGATGAGATTTGGTAAACACCTACTAGACAGGATGGAAAAGGATATAGGCTACTTCATGTCCATTTTTATTATTATTATTTCAGCCATTAACTGTCCACTGCTGGACATAAGCCTTCCCCATTACGGGAGTTTTACCAGTAGTTGCCACGCTTAGCAAGCGGGTTGGCAACCGCAGTTAGGCTTTTAGAGATGTTTTAAGAGACACGCTGCTGCCCATCCCTCACTCTTTCTTAGTCGCCTTTTACTACATCCACGGGAAAGATAGCGGATCATTCTATGCCTGGGTACACACTTCATGTTTATATATATATATATATATATATATATATATATATATATATATATATATATATATATATATATATATATATATATATATATATATATATATATAACGGGAAATTATTGAATACATTGTGTGTTTGCTGTTTACTACTGTCTCGACTACATTGGAAACGTTCTTCAGGGGACGTTTTTTTTTGATGGGTGAAAATAGGATCGTAACCCCGCCTGCGCTAACAGGATACGCTGGCGAAGCACCAGTGAAGGGTGATAGATGAGAATGAAAACAGGCCAGTTAGCCCATCATGATGAATTCATCAGGAATTAACCATGATATTTTCCGGGGGGAACCGCGAGAAGGTCGACCTGGTTGGGTGTATTGCTAGCCATGGGATTCTCAGTCTCCATTACTAACAATCCCTTTCCCCCCAGGGGACGTTTGACTTGACTTATCTCGTTCAGTCACGAAGACAAAGTCACGAGTCAAAACTAATACAATTTAATACTAATACTACTTTAATACTATTTCTAAAAGTCTTAATATAGATCTATTTTCGAAAAACATAATATCAGTGAGAGACCAACTGAGTAGGCAATTTTTTATTCATAGTCAGTTTGAATAACTATTGTATGGAAAAGAAGGCCAATCAAATACTTGTAATTAATTTTTACTTTGTATTTTATTCATCTTTTTTTTTTTTTGTTTTCGTTCTTGTTTGTTCCTTTTTTTTTTACAAGCTTTTATTTAACTTCACTTTTTTTGTTCACTCCTATTTTTGTTGCTTTGTGTACAGCGCCTTGTATCTATATTGTTGCTACTTGTGAAAACTTATTAATAGCTTATTTTGTGATCCTAAACTGTAGTTTTTTGCTCTAGTGTAGTCCAGGTTTTCCTATAAATAAATAAATTCACTCGTGAAGTGGAGCATACAAGCCGCTGTTTGCGATACGACCATTACCACAATGGATCCCCTTTAGGCCCTTTGTATCGTCTCCTTTGATTAACTTTGATCTAGGTGAGTGCAAGGTAACTCAGTAGTTCTCCACGGTACGTGCAGCGCTAATGGATTGCGCAAAGAGTTGGAACCTAAAAGGTTTTTACCTGATACCACCTATTGTTTGCCGTTAAAAATCCATTGTCACCGAAATGGATTAGGGAAGACAAAACATGTTTCAACATTGTCCGGATTGCTTTTTAAAAAGACTTTAGACATCACAAAATTAATATATTAACCAATAAAACGATAAAGTTACACCCTCGATTAAAGCAACCTGCGGGGGGAAATGGATTGTTAGTAATGGAATTCGACATTGCTAGCAATATGCCCTATCAGGTCGACCTCCACGTGGTTTCCCCTGGAAACCATCGTGAACAATTCTTGTTGAATTTGTCACGATGGGCTAACTGGCCTGCTTCATCCTCATCTATCATCCCTCACTGGTGCCCCGCCGGTGTATACTAATAGCGCATTCCATTATCACCCATTAAAAAAAAGGCAACCTGCGGCTCTCGGGATATATACAGCTCTTCAGTACGCAAAAAAAAATCAAACTCGTTCTGAATCGATTAACGAAAATTAGGCACCAAGTTTTATTAATATAAGTATTATTTCTTGTTGGCAAGAAAAAATTTATTGGCTCTTTAAAAGCTTTGAAATTTTTCAAAATTGTAATTTTTTACTCTTCAAACCCAAAAGGTTGCCGACCCCTGGTCTAGTGGCATATCACAACGGTTTACTTTGCAATGGTCACAGGTTCGATCCTCGCACAATAAAAACTTTTGTATTCATGACCATGTCTGCTTGTATTGGTCTGGATGTTATCTATCTATAAGACGTAGGTATTTAAAAAAAAAAAGCATTTTAAGGATGTCTATCAGATGTCTATAGTACCTACAGGGGGGAAAAGGGATTGTTAGCAATGGAGTTTGATAGCCCCATTGTTAGCAATATGCCTTATTAGGTCGACCTCCACGTGGTTCCCCCTGGAAACCATCGTGAACAATTCTTGTTGAATTCGTCACGATGGGCTAACTGACCTGCTTCATCTTCACCTATCATCCTTCACTGGTGCCCCGCCGGTGTATACCGATAGCACGGGTGGGGTTACCATTCCATTATCATCCATTAAAAAAAATATATAGTACCTACAGTGCAAACTCTCCTAAGTTTCACTAGATGGCGCCGAGTTATGTATCCAGTATGTATTTATTTGTTTATTTATTTATCTTTTTCACACGTGTATTTTTTCTTCATTTTAAAGTATAAGTGTATCTTTGAAAACTATGACATTAAATTAAATTTTAATTCTATTATGTTCAAAGACAGTGGAGTCGAGCAGATTAAAATAAATTAGAATAAGTAAATTATTGTTTGTAGCTTTCAAGCTAGCTTTTTTAAGTCGTCTTTTTTTATAATTCACTTGCTCAGTTCGAAATGTTATTTGCTGAAAATTTACACAAAAAACTGCATAGTTGTTCTTCTTGAATCTCTGTTAAAATTATGTGTATTTACATAAATCTACTATGTATAAAGTAACGAGGTCCTTGTACATTTAAATGTCCTTTTCCGCCAATATTTCTATCGTTAGGTGTAACAACTTTAATTTATTACTAAAGTACATTTAAAAACGTGGCTAAATAACAATAAATGTATTTACAATATTAATGTGCAAGAGAATAAACAAAAGGTCAGTCAGCATGTTCCTCTTGCAAAGCCGTTTGTTTAAACTAGATTTGATGATTTGATGACGGTTCAGGCTGTCTGCGGGAGATGTGCACCCTGGGGTTGGAAGCCAGCTTCGTTGGCCACGTAGGTGACGGTGTAAACTACATTATCCGGTCCGGTATAGCTGAATGATCCACGTACTTCGATCGCTTCGTTCTCGGTACCGACGTTTTTAAGCTGCGCTGTTTCTTGGGCTGATTTTCCATCGCTGGTTTCAACTCTGTAGTAAAAATAATTAGAAGAGACAATTAAGAAAAAAAAATACATATTATAGTAATACACATATTATATAATAGTAACAAATGAAATTTTGCTCCACAAAAAAATATACCGACTTCAAACGTGACAATCCTAGTCATTTTAGTTTAAAAACCAAAATACTGAAACGATTTATTTTTATTTTACCAGAGGGAGACTTTGTACAAAAGTCGAATGCTTGGGTACCTTGAGTTTGAAGGGTGGGATATAGAGTGAATTTACAAGGTACAGAGGAATAATACCTGAGTCCTCGGGAATGGCAACGCATGGGGGGTATCATAGGCGAAACAGTACACTCTGTTATGTCCATGGTACTGCTCATGTCTATAGGCGATGGTTACCACTTTCCATCAGGTGGGGCGTCAGCTTGTTTGCCATTCTAAGTCGTATAAAAAAAAAAGATTCTAATGAAATTTCTAAGAGACCAATCTAAAGGTATAGGATTTACCACATTGTTTTATAAATGACAGATTCTTGAAGTAACAAATATAGAATAAAAGCAACCATATCAAGACCGTTCTCCTATTATTATCATTATTACCATATTACATACCTTTACCCTCCCAAGAAACATTAGTAACCTTGTCCCTCTTCGTTTCAACTGATTTCAAGGAGATTCTCAATTCGTTTTTTTTTTATGTTTGTTAAATCATACCTCTGTCATATCTAAACCGGTTTCGAAAATTCTTTTATCTCTAAGTATAGATTGGTCTCATGGAAATTACATCAAAATCTGTTCAGTAGTTTAAAAAAACTCTCTCTTTTCAGGGGGGAAGGGATTGTTAGTAATGAAGAGTTTAGTCCCCATTGCTATCAATATACCCTATCAGGTCGACCTATACGCGGTTCCCCCTGGAAACTATCGTAACCAATTTATCATTGAATTTGTCACAATGGGGCTAACTGACCTGCCTTTTCATCCTCACCTATCACCGCTCACTGGTACCCCGCTAGTGTATACCGATAGCGCAGGCGGGGTAACCATGCCATTTTCACGCATAAAAAAAAATCTCTCTTTTCATTTAACAGTTTCCTCTTGTCAATGGAACTAATTCTTCCAGCCAGCTCTATCCCAGGCCATATCCATAACTAAACTATTTAAGTTTATTTAAATCAAAAGAAATTATTTTGTCATTATTAAAGTTTTTTTTTTTTTTTTTTGAATGAATGAGTACACTTTAATTATACAATTTAGGAAATAAAAAACAATTTACAAACAAACTTGTCAAAAACAATTTTTAAAAACTCAAACTTGTCAAAAACTCTTTAAAATTGTCAACAACTCTTTCAAAAATTCGATGGAGAATTGTTTGCTCCAGCATGTTTGCTCAATCTCGCGTAGATGACTACTATGCTATAAGAAGAAAGAGAACTGCATCATTGCTACACAGGGTTAGGACAAGCACCAACAGCATTCTAAAAGTAATAGGCGAGAAATATAACTCGCTTATAATTGGGCATTTCATTCAGATGCTGTTCTAGTCGGCTGGCTCACATCTGAGTGAACTGCTTTAATTAATTTGCTTTACTTTTTTACTAACATAGTTTGTAAGAAAACTGTTACTAACAAAATGGACCAAATTGTAGTCTGAGTAATAAAGTATATTATTATTATTATTACTGTAACTTACGCGTAATTGTATCCATCCACTCCAATGTTCTCAGACTCGTAACGAAGGATGGTGGCGTCCCTGGAATTGGTTGAGACTGGAACAGCGACTGCGGCGGCCGCGAACAGGGCGAGCACTACGAACTGGGGACAATATTTATATAATAAATTTAATTGTCAGGAACATTGATTTGTCTCACATGTACATATATTTACACACAAATGATCAAACTCCAATTATTACTACTTTATAAATAAAAAGTACTCATTTATTTATTCAAAAAATGCAATCTATTATGTATATAATGAATGAATGAGTATAATTTATTTGCATTATACAATATAGGAAATAAGCAAGACAATTTACAAACACAACGATACAGTTGTATAAATACAGTAAGGCGGTCTTATTGCTGAGAGCAATCTTTTCAAGACAACCTTAGGGTAATAGACTAATTGTTGTACAAGTAGGTATTGTATAATTAAGAAAATTAACAGAATAAAACATTAAGGAAAATAATTAGAAGTATTAAGTAAATATACAAGTAATGTGTACATGTACGAGCATTTACCAAAAAAAATGTTAATGCCAGTTATCTAGTGCCCATAGTACAAACTGTACTTAGTTTGAGAGTAGATGGCGCTGTGGTATGTTCAGGGATATTTATTTATTTAGTTTACTAGCAGTTTTTTTAAAATAAACCCACCAAAGAGCCAAAACTGCATACATTTTCTTAATTTTTAATTATTTTTATAAAAATGATGACGAATTTACATTAATTTAAGCATGTGGGTTAGAACCGTTCTTTCTGCCAGTCAGTGTCCAAACACTGGACATGTATAATACATGTATATACATATGTATAATACGTTTCATGTCTATAGGCGACAGTTATTCATATTGTATCAGATATATCTTTTTTTAATGGATGAGAATGGAATGTAATCTCTAATACACTATCGGTATATGCTGGCGAAAGTCACCAGAAAGAAAGCAGGCATTTTAACGCAACCTGACGATTCCTACAAGAGTTAGCGATGATGATTAAGGGGAAATACGCAGAGGTCGATCTGATAGGGTATATTGCTAGAAAAAATATATCTGTTAACAATTCCTAACAATGCCTTAATACAAGTAACAAGTAGGCTGTTTTTTTTATGGGTGCAAATGGTATGGTAACCCCGCCTACGCTAACAGGATACGCTTGCGGAGCCACCAGTGAAGGGTGAAAGATGAGAATGAAAACAGGCCAGTTAGCCCATCATGATGAATTCATCAGGAATTAACCATGATAGTTTCCAGGGAGAACCGCGAGGAGGTCGACCTGGTTGGGTATATTGCTAGCAATGGGATTCTCAGTCTCCATTACTAACAATCCCTCCCCCCCCCCCCCTCCCCCCAAATAGGCTGTTAGCTTAACCATTCTAAATTGAATAAAAAAAAAACTATTCAATGTTGAAAAACTAACATAAACCATAGATAATTATTAAGGATAAGCGAATTTTACTTCTTAAGAAAAATAAAATTTTGTATCTTGACAAAATTAATAGAAGGCTAATAGGAAAACAAATCCTATAGGCTGCGTGCAGAATTTTAAAAATCTATTTCGAATTAATGAAGTTGGTAATTAATTAAATTCAGAATTTCCTCGTTTTTAAACTGTCTCAATGAGATAAGTTTTTCAACATTATATATGTATAAGTAAGGACATATACATACATATACGCAAACATTTTGTATATATGTTCACCTGTTTTTTTCAAAAACCGCAATCTCAATGATTTTAATACTAGATAGATAGATAATTTATTTGCATTACTTACAGCACACAAATTACAACATATATTGATATACATAAAAAGTGAGATAACATAAATAATTTAAAAAAAAAATACATAAAGCTAAATAGAATTTTTCGTTTGTGCGTGTACCATAACAATACAAAATGGTCACAATTCAGTTTATTGCTTCGCCTTCAAAAGAGCAAAGCACTGATATTCTGTTGCGACCAAAGGGAATAGGGTAACAATAAAACAATACTACCAGATTATCCATACAGTAAATAGATAGATATACAGTAAACAGACAGATATGACAGTTTATCTAGCAGACAAATGGAACATAGAGGTAACTTGCTGGAATGTCTAACTTTTGCCTCTCAATTAAGAATTTTTGTATATTAATTTAGAAACTGGACATAGTAACGAACAAGTTAATGGGAGGTGATATATTGTTCCAACATTTTGTGGCTTGATTTCGGACACTAGATACAAATACAAACTTGTTATTCCGAAGTATCGTTTAAAAAAAGTTAATAGGTCTTTTATGGGAATGGATATTTTGGATCCACCTTTCAATAAATTTAAAACTATTATTATTATTTCAGCCCTTAATTGTCCATTGCTGAACAAAAAGCCTTCCCCACAAGCGGAGTTTTGCCAGTAGTTGCCACGCTTGGCAGGCGGGTTGGCAACCACAGTTAGGCTTTTACAGATGTTTTAAGAAGGACGCTGTTGCCCTTCCCTCCACCATAAGCTCCCTTAAAACTGTCACTAAAAACACTTATTGAACAAAGCCTGCACTAAACGACTTACTTGAATGACAAACGTGCATGGTATTAGTCGATCATGCACGGGTTTTTTAACGACCATGTAATAAATTTACACATAGTACATTTAAATAAATACACATAATTTTTTTTTGATGGGTGAAAATGCTATGGTAACCCCGCCTGCGCTAACGGGATACACTGGCGGAGCACCAGTGAAGGATGATAGATGAGAATGAAAATAGGTCAGTTAGCCCATCATGATGAATTTATCAAGAATTAACCATGATAGTTTCTAGGGGGAACTGCGAGGAGGTCGACCTATTTGGGTATATTGCTAGCAATGGGATTCTCAGTCTCCATCACTAACAATCCCTTTCCCCCCAATACACATAATATTAAGAGAGATTTAAAAGAGTAACTGTTGAGTTTCTTACAGGCTCTTCTCAATAGATACCAACTTTCCGAAGCATGCAGAGGATTTTAAAAAAAAATGGCGATTTAAAAGTGCTTGTAGACAAGTCTGATTGAATAAAGACGATTTAAATTTGATATTGCACCTGAAACTTAAGTTCGGTTCGTGCTTGACATATTTTTTATTGTGCACCGACAATCTGAGAGACGCCAGTGAGATCATCCCCCTGAGAGCGCGGTAAGAATATAAATACGGTCATGAACGACCTAAATACCTGTGCGAACTGTAGGCGTGTCTGTCTGTCTGTCATAACGTTCACTGCGATACACCAGCGCGCGGCGAGCTTTGTCAATCCCAGTGTTGCCAACAATACGGCTTTCTTTCGATGACGCTATTGATACGGCGTGAAGATGAGTCAATCAATTGTTTTATTTAATCAGTTTCAAACCGAAGGGATTTCTCAATTTGTATTACATGATATATTAGTCAATTCATAACTGATTTTGGTGATTCTTTTTTTTTAATAATGAATTTTATTTCATAACAGTACTATACATATTTTTATCAAGATGGATGGACATGCTCTTGGTATCCTTCGCCTCCCGCCCTTCAGCAATGCGTTGGCATTCCAGAGATCCACCTCTATGCCCTTTAATATCACTACCACTACACCGACACCGACATATACCACCCTTCAAACCAAAACACAACCTTGCAAACATGGCTGCTTCACGGCAGAAATACGAGTGGGACAGTGGTACCCACTTTTATAATTAGTAATTAGAGAATAATGGTGTTGATTGTACAAATATTCATGTATTTAAGTAATATTTTTTTTATTTATACAGTACAATTGTTTATTATTACCCTCACCTATTTTTATATAACTTAGAATGGCAAACAAGCTGACGGCCCACCTGATGGAAAGTGGTAACCGTCGCCTATAGACATGAGCAGTACCATGGACATAATAGAGTATACTGTTGCGCCCATGATACCCCCCATGCGTTGCCATTCCTAAAGACTCAGATGTTATTCCACTGTACCCTGTAAATTCACTACCATATCCCACCCTTCAAACCGAAACACAGCCATGCAAACACAACTGCTTCACGGTAGAAACACGAAAGGGACAGAGGTGCTCAAGCAAACGACTTTTGTACAGTCTCCCTCTGGTTTTCTCTTTCACCAGTCTGTTAAAAAAATATTAATATTTGCCACTTACCGATTTCATTTTAGTTGTGAAGTGGCTTTGCGTGATGTTCCAACGAATGCCATTTATTTTATGAATTCGTATTTATATATATATGCGTGCTGTCAGACACGCTACTTTGCATAGTGGAATAGTGCCTAGTTTATTAGGTAATTCCATACAAGCTAATGTCAAACTAATTTTGGCCGTGTTTAATCGTCAATATGTCATATGATTTTAATATTTCTCTTCGTGTTCAGGCTTATGTATTGACAATAGAAAAACGTGTCTATTCTTTTTACCTCACCAATACACAGTGGGAGGGGAGAAGGGATTGCTAGTTATGGGGACTAGTAGCCCCGTTGCTAGCAATATACCCTGTCAGGTCGACCTTCTCGTGGTTCCCCCTGGAAACCATCGTGCTTGATTTATTGTTTTGTATCAATTTTGGAATATATATATATATATATATATATATATGTGTGTGTGTGTGTGTGTGTGTGTGTGTGTGTGTGTGTGTGTGTGTGTGTGTGTGTGTGTGTGTGTGTGTGTGTGTGTGTGCGTGTATGTGTATATATATATATATATATAGTTGTCGACTTGCCTTAAATAAATAAATAAATATTAATTATAAAAAAATATATATTAATCAAAATTCATTGAAATAATGTATTATTATATACATATATAATTTATTCAGCGAAGCAATTTTGCATTCATATTACTATGTCCATTACAAGATCGTTGCCCTTGAAAATGCCGGCCAAATACGAGCCTTACAATCAAATTATGGTTCCGCGACGTGGATTATTAATATTCTCTTGTTAAATAAATAAATTTCATATATTATTATTTTTAGTATAAATATAATATCACAAATAGATATAATAATAATGGGCAACTCTTTCTCGTATCGAGCTGCCCAGTTACGGAACAAACTCCCTTCCCACATACAAGAGAGTATTACCTCTTACAAGAAGAGGTAGAAATCACATTTTCTTTCCCTTAAGTAATTTTTTTTTTTTTGTATTTTTCTAATTGAACTGTCAAATCTTAAAATCATTAAATTAAATTTCTAATGTAAGTAGTATATTCATTTATTTTAACATTTATTATAATAAGTAGGTAGGTATTATATTTATTTATAGTGTAGGTATGTATTTATGTAATATTTTTTTAACTGTATATTTGTTTATGTATTAATGGTTGTAGCACTTCAGCTGCCCGCTAACGACATGCTTTCTAACTGTATCGGGTTGACTGGAAGAGATCTCTGTCAGAGATAAGTCCACCCTTGCTCACAACATTTATAAATGCATTATTTTATATATAACTTACAAGTGCAATAAAGAATATATATATAATAATTTAAAAATGTCTTACAAAATATTTTTATACGAATAAGAAGCACATAAATATTATTTATATTATATTAAATATTATAAATCATATTTATATAATATAATTGGCAGGCGCATTAGCAACTGCAGTTAGTTAGGCATTTGGTTATGTTTTAAGGGGAATGGTTTTTTTATTTATTTATTTAAATCATCTTTTATTAATTTATGTAAAATATAAAATTACAATAAAAAAATACTTTAATTTAATCAAAATTCTATCCTTCCTTATACAATATTAAATACAACAGGCTATATTTATTTATTCATTTACAATATTATTTTATGTATCTTTATAATAAAATTTAAGAATTTACATACATTGGTATTATTTATTTATTTAACTCTTTATTGCACCAGAACCATAAGAATATACAATAACAATTGAACAGTTCAAGTGAAATACAGTAACGTAAATTACATATATAATTAGATAGAAAAATATTTAAAAAAATCATCTTTCACCTTCCATTTCATTAACTGCATGACTGGAATAGACAAAATATGTAAAAAAAAACAAATTCACAAAAAATTTTTTTTTGTGAAATAATATTTTATAAAAAAAAAAGGGAACAATGATTTTGTACGAAACATTCGTTGCGCGAGTCCTACTCGCACTTAACTGGCTTTTTTTCATTAATACCTACACTTAATGAATAATATAAACATTCTCATCTCTATGACCTGAATTCCTTAAATTTTCCCGTACCATTATTATCCTGTACATTAAAAATTTACTTCGCTTCGTTAAGTTATAAAAGTATCAATCCTATAAAACAAGTTATAAGTTCATACATTATTAACGCCAATGTTAAAAAACCTCTGAACGGTTATAGCTTTATTACATGGACATATTTGCATGTACATTAAAATAATGTTGATTTGCATCTGTAATATGCCACGAACACCTAAACGACTCTATTAACTTTTCAACTTGTTGTTAGATAAACAAAAAAATATGTTCGGAATGAAATAAGATAAGATAAGATTTGACATTATAAGAATTCATTAAATCAAAAACAATATTAACTATTGATGTATCTTTCCAATACTAGCTTTTAGCAATACTAGCTTTTAGTGGGTTACTTTCCACGTGATTCTCCCTGGAAAACTATCGTGCTGAATTCCAGGTGTATTCATCGCGATGGGCTAACTGTCTTACCTTTTCATTCTCACGTATCATTCCTCACTGGTAGTCCACCAGCGTATACCGTTAATGCGAGCATGGTTATCATTCCTTTATCGCCGATAAAAACATAATTACCTTCCTTGATAGGAAAAATATCGCTTAAAAATCTAAATTCAGTTACGGAACCCACAAAAGACAAGTCGCTTAAAATCTATAAATAAAAGCCTTTTTTTTAAATGAGTGATAATGAAATGGTAACCTCGCCTGCGGTATCGGGATGCACTGGCGGGGCACCAGTGAGGGATGACAGATGAGGATAAAAAGGCAGATCAGTCAGCCCATCGTGACGAATTCCACTAGAATTAACCACGACGGTTTCCAGGGAGAACGACGAGGAAGTCGACCTGATAGGGTGTATTGCTAGCAATCGGTCAATTAGATCCCATTACTAACAATTCCTTCCCCCCCCTCCAAATAAAATACATTGAGAATCAAAATATATTTAAAACATACGAGTTGCGGGTCTGTCGAGGTCACGGACGAGTCATGCAGTCAGAATGACAGAGTATGATAAAGCCATGTTGTTACCATCAGGTCGCCCCGTTCTCTTTCGAATGATATTAAGATATGCAACAATATTTAAAGTTCAACAATTATGAATTCATTCGCTAGGGAAAGACTTTGTATTAAAGTCATCTGCTTGGGTACCTCTGTCCCATTCGTGTTACTGTCGTACAGCAGTTGTATTTGTATAGCTGCATTTTGATTTGAAGTGTGAAATGTGGCAATGAAATTACAAGATTACAGGGTGCAAAGGCATAACACTTAGTCCTCAAGAATGGCATCGCATGGCATGTATGTCTGACAAGTTTTTATAAAGATCTTGTTACTGCATATCTATTTATATGCAACTTAGAATGACAAACAAGCTGAAAGCCCACCTGATGAAAAATAGCAACCGTCGCCTATAAACATGAGTCATTCCTGAGGACTCAGGTGTTATTCTTCCGTACCCTGTAAATTCACTGCCATATCCCACCCTTCCAACCGAAACACAGCCATGCAAACATAACTGCTTCACGGTAGAAACATAAATAGAACAGAGGTGCCCAAGCAAACGATTTTTGTACAAAATCTCCCTCTGGTAGTAGTAAATTAAATGTATTGCAATAAATGTGGTAAGTTGAGTTAATATTATACATTTTTATGTAGCCTTAACATTCAGCCAGTTTGGCATGCAACATTTTTACATGTATTATTATTGCTAAATATTAATTATAAGTTATATTAATGCTAAAGTTACATTATATATTTAAATTATAATTCTAAATTTACACATACATGTCACTATTTTCGTTTTCCTTCGTCATTTTTTTTTCTGTTGTACTCGTATGTGTGCTGTTAAGTATGTGTATGTTATGTATATATTTAATTGTGTATATATTATATATATGTATGTATGTATGTATCTATATATGTTTGTATATGATAATATTTATATAATAGTGCTCCACCTACTCTTTGTCTTTTTCTCAATGCCCTCTACCCAAAGGTTGTCTGGAAGAGATTGCTTAGCGATAAGGCCGCCTTTTGTATCACTTCTCATTAATATTTACTGTATTTGTTATTTCTCTTTTTACTTGGTGCAATAAAGTGTAAATAAATAAATATTTTCCAATTAATCACAACCGTCACACATTTATAAACATATATATATATATATATATATATATATATATATATATATATATATATTACATACATATAATATTTTAGCGTATAGAAAATTTTGTAACCAACCATTTACATAAAATGACTGTAAACCTTTTTAAACACAGATCAGTAAGTGAATTTGGTAGTTTATTGTAAATTATTATACATAATAAGTAAATGTTACTATGATATAGATGTGTTTTCATGTTTGGTAGCTTAAACCTTCCAGGATGTCTTTTTTTATACAACTTAGAATGGCAAACAAGCTGACGGACCACTTGATGGACAGTGGTAACCGTCACCTATATGGTAGATATGAACAGTACCATGGACATAACAGAGTATACTGTTTCGCCCCATGCGATGCCATCCCTGAGGACTCGAGTGTTAGTCCCAAAATTGCTCCTAAGGGAATCCCATATTAACAGTAGTTTTGAATTTATTATTTATTTAAGGGCTATTTCTTTAGCATGATCATTCTTTCCAATAATTTTGGACATATTTACGACCATTTTCAAAATAACCAGTTAGCCATTATAATACGAGTTCTTGTAGACTATATTTTTTACATTTTTTGAGAAAAATGTCCTAGGTTACGAGTACACAATCGAGTGTTTTGCTCATATCAAAAAAAAATTGCAACCGTGTCTACATACTTGTCAACGTTTTCAATTATTGTCTTAAGAAACTTAAAGGCGGCTAAAGAATACTCGAGCTACAAGGCCAAGTCATTACCACTTATAAATTTGATTGCATTTCATCATTAAAAAAAATTTTTATTAAAAAAAATATAGTTAAACGAATTAAGAATCCCCCTCCTTTTGAAATTCGCTTAAAAATATTCAAAAAAAAAAATCGTAAAATATAAAAAGCAATTGTGACGTTT